TCCTTGAAGGTGGCCGAGAACAGCAGCACTTGGCAGCTCGTGGGAAGAGCCCTGTGGCAAGAAAAAGGCCTCCTCAGTCCTGGTGAGTGGCTGCTGCCCAGGAGAAGGACATACACCCAAATTTAAGCTCATTTTGTGTGGCCTTCGATGGAAAGGGAAGCCAAGGGGGCTTACAAGAAAGATGGAGAGGGGCTTGTCCTGGAGTGACAGGACAAGGGAGAATGGCTTCACACTGACAGTGAAGAGGTTTAGATTGGATATGAGGAGGAAGTTCTTTGCTGTGAGGGTGGTGAGGCATTGGAACAGGTTGACCAGAGAAGCAATGGCTGCCCCATCCCAGGAAGAGTCCAAGGCCAGGCTGGATGGGACTTGAAGCAACCTGGGCTAGTGGAAGACATCTGTGCCCACAGCAGGGTGGTTGGAACAAGATGGGCTTTAAGGTCCATTCTCACTCAGATCATTCTATGATTCTCTAGGCTGCACCAGCTCAAAGGAAAGGTAAGGAAGGTAAAAGTCTTCCCATGTGTCCAGCAGACGTGGCTTTAGGGAAAGTTGGACCCCTCACAAGCCCCTTCAGCACCATGTCTGAAAGAGAGGGGAAAGCAGGGAAGCAGGATGCCAGCCATCAGGGATACTCACCTGTGGATGCGGATGCTCTGGCAGGAGAGGCCCTGCGTGTCGATCATGATGTCGGCCTCATCCAGCACGAACAAGGAGATCTTCGTCAGGTCCAGGATGCGCTGCTTGAAGCACCAGTCCAGCGTGGTGCCTGGCGTCCCGATGATGATCTGCTCCTCCAGCACCATGCCCTTCAGAACTGTGAGAGGGAAAAAGGCACCTGGCTCTCTGCTGCTCTGTGCTTCCCCTCAGCTCGCTCAGACTCTGGCTGCTCAGTGATGCCTTCCAGGGGTCATCATGACACTTCCGTGCAGCCTCGGGGGTGGGAACCAGCCCTATTTGGGGAGTCTGGAAGCAGCCAGCAATGGTGGTAAAGCTTCCTCAGCAGCAGAGGGGATCACACACTATAAAGTGGCCTTTCTGGCAGTCTGGGTGGTCCCTGGTAGCTCCAGCTCTAAGAGGGGATCCCCGTGCTCCCTTCCCACTCCCGGGGCAGTGCCAGTAGCTGTGCTGGGCTGGACTCACTTCGGTTTCCCCGGACAGCGTAGTTCACCTTGATGTCAGTGCAAAACTTCCCGATGGTCCGGACCACCTGCCCGATCTGCAGGGCCAGCTCGTAGGTGGGAGCCAGGCAGAGGCACTGGTGGGAGAGGAGAGGAGGGAGCTGTCAGGCCCAGGGTGGGACATGCTGGGCTGGCAAGGAGGGCAGGGACAGCAGGAGGAACATGGGAGCATTGCACAGCACTGAGGCACAGGGGATCGGGCAGCCAGGCATGGCTGGAGGTTTGGGAGCTGGGCTGTGTTCACAGCTCCAGCCACAGGGGCAGAAAGAAGCCACTGTCGCTGTTTTTGAGGAGGAAATTCCACCCTGGAAGCACGGTGCAGCTCATTCCTGTGCCCTGGTTCAGTCACCCCATGCACACGAGAGGAGATGTTACATGGCAGGAACCAGCAGGCAAAGCTGATTCAGCACCCAGAGAGGGGACTGGGGGCGTTTGAGCCACGAGAACACCAGCAGTGTCTACAGTTGCTCCTCAAAATTTAAATTCCAGGACAAATGAAGCCTGGACGGATCCACTCTGGCAAGTCAAAGTGTCTCCCTGGGCAGACACTGTGCTTTCAGTCATACCTGCCACTGCGACAGCCCCTGGAGGTTTGTCATCCCCCTCCAGTGGGTGAAGTCACACAGGGACAGGGACAAAGCCTGGAGCTCTGGCCCCAGCAGCGTCCCAGGCACTTGGGCCAACCCCTCCTGCATCAGCTCTCCCTGTCCTGCATTACCTGCGGGTATTTCTCGTTGGCATTGGCTCTGCTCAGCATGGCCAAGACAAAAGCTGCTGTTTTCCCTGTCCCTGACTGGCTCTGGGCAATCAGATTTTGGGGCCTGCAAGGCAAAGGCAGCTTAGTGGAGCGCAGGGGTCGGGGCACCGGGATGGTGTGCGGAGCCGGGGCTCGCGTTCCTACTCACGGGTACGCCAGCATGAGGGGCAGAGCCTGCTCCTGGATCTTGGATGGTCTGTTGAAGCCCATCATGTAAACCCCCCGCAGGAGCTCCCTCTTCCTGTGGAAACAAAGCATCCCAAGGGCCCGTGTGAGGGTGGCCAGTGGTGCTGGCACTCGCAGGGCCGGGGGCTGTGGCTACTCACAGGGGAAGCTCCTCGAAGGTCTTGACAGAGAAGAGTGGGGAGTTGGGGTCCCGCTGCAGGATCTCCACGTGCTGGTCAGACTCCACCAGGGATGTGTGGATCAGCTTGTTCATCAGCGAGAGCTCTGCCAGCGGCACTGGGGAGAGGCAGCAAGTGGAATAATGCAAGTGGAATGGCAGAATTGCTAGGGCTGCAAGGGACCTCTGGAGATTGTGGGAGCAAGCTGAGCCACTCTGCACCTGCATTTAGCTAATCGGAATTGAAAGGGAGGACTGACCTTGGCTAAGTGCTTTGAAAGAGAGAATGTTGTGTTTCTCAAAGCTGAAAACCACACTGAACGGTCTGCATGATATGTGTGTGTTTTTCTCTCGTGGCTGAACACAGCCACCATGTGATGTGAGCTGAATGTGTGGGATCGAAGCACTGGTTTAGGACGATCCTGGAAATTCTGGTTAACTAAAAAAAACCCACCAGGTGCTGTTTACGAGAGAACAGGAATAAAAGGGGAACACTGAAAAGGATGGGTGGACAAGTCCTGAAATCGAACTCTGTGCAGCTCCATTTTTTTTTAGTGCCCGTAGAGACCACCCAGTCCAACCCCCCCTGCCCAGGAAGGGTCACCTGGAGCGGCTGACACAGGTGGGTCTGGAACGTCTCCAGAGAGAACTCACGAGCTCCTTGGGGCGGCCTGTCCCACCCTCCGCGGAAAGAAGAACTGTTTTAGTTTATAACAAGAAGGCCTGTGATCTGAACCCTCTGCCCTGCAGCCCCGGGGGGATGGGGGTCTGTCCGTGCTCCGCGGGGGGCTCCGGGACCCACCTCTTTCCTCGTCCTCCGCCTCAGCCCCGAGCGCGGGCGGCGCGGGGGGCGCGGGGGGCGCGGGGAAGGGGCCGAGCCCGCGGGCCGGGCCGGGGCGCTGAGGGCAGCCGAGCCTGGCGAGGCGGGAGGGCGGGCGGCGCAGCTGGGCCAAGGGCCAGGGGCACGGCAGGCCGGGCCCGGGGCCCGCCGAGCCGAACCGGCCGAGCCCGCGCCCCGCCTCCGCCATGGAGCCGCCTCAGAGCCCCGCAGAGCCGGACGGGGCGGGAACATCCGGCACCGGCGGAGCGGGTACGGCTGGGAACGGGAATGGGAATGGGAACGGCACAGGGATGGGAATGGGAACGGCACAGGGATGGGAACGGGAACTGGAATGGGAACGGGAACGGGAACGGGGCAGCACAGACCCTCGCGTAGGGTGGGGGGCCCTGGGGAGCTGGGGACAGCGACCTCACAGGGCGGGGAGGGTCCCCTGTTGAGAACCCGCATAGTTTTGGAGGGATATTTGGAGTGCTGGGGGACACGGACCCCCCACTATATCCTGGAGGGTCCCTAGGGACCTGGGCCAGGGACTGTGGAGCAGGGAAGGTCCCCTGCTGCAGACAGGGACCCCATAGGTTTTTGGGGGGTCCTTGCAGTGCTGGCGAATAGGGATCCCCCCACTATAGGGTGGGGGTCCCTGGGGAGTTGGGGACAGCAACATCATAGGACAGGAAGGGTCCCCTGTTGAAGATAGGGACCCCATAGGGTGCCAACCCTGGTCCCCATTTTGTTTTGGGGAGTCCCTGGGGTCAGAGCCTGTCCCATGGCATAGTGGGAGTCCCTGAAGAGCTGGGAACAGGGATGGTGGCACAGGGAAGGTCCCCTGCTGCAGACAGAGGCCCCAGAGGTTTTTGGGGGGTCCCTGAGGTGTTGGGGACAGTGACACATTCCCCTCCCAGAATGCTGAGAACAGGGATACCAAGGGGATAGGGCTGTCCCCAGGTAGATAGAGATGCAGGGACCCCATAGGTTTTGGGGGCTTCCTGGGGTGCTGGAGGACAGGGAGCCCTCCCATAGGGTGGGGGTCAGCAGCTTATGACCCTATGGTCAGGATGTGAGGGGTGCCCCAGGGTGATGGAGAAGCAGTGATCCCATAGGGTTTTGGGGGGGTCTCTGGAGTGTTGAGGACAGAGACTCCCCCTCATTGGCTGCTGGAGACAGGGACACCAGAAGGGGAGGGCTATCCCCAGGGTGATGGAGGTGCAGGGACCCCACAGGGTTTTGTGGGGTCCCTGGGGTTTTGGGCACAGGAACCATGGAGCAGGGAGGGTCCCCTGCTGCAGACAGGGACCTCATAGGGTTTTCGGGGGGGTCCTTGGGGTGCTGAAGGAGCAGGGACCTTGTAAGGTGGGGGTGCTGTCCCCCATAGGGTTTGGGGTTGAGTCTCTAAGGTTCTGGGGAACAAAATCCCCTTCATAGGTGGATGGAGGTATGCAGGGTGCTGGAGAACCAGGGACCCCAACCCTGGAAGGTCCCTGGGGTGCCAGAACACCCCCAGTGTAGAATAACCACAGAAGCCTGTGTGTTTCCCATGTGGGGCCACATCCAGAGGAGGTTTGGTGGGAGCTGGACACAGAGCTTCAGGCTGCAGCTGTCACCTGCTTCCTGTCCTCCCGGCTCCCTTTTCCAGCCATCCCACTCAGCTTTTGCTTTTTTGTGCCAGAACTGCTGTGTTTTCAGTCTATCCCTATACTTGGGGAAAAAATTAACACTAATAATAGTAATAACTAACACTACCTTACTTCCATCCCAAAGCTCTCTTATTTTAAAAATGAAGTAAAAAAGGCCAAGTGAGCAGAGTTTGGTGGAGCAGGGATAAGTCTGGAATAATGGATGCTGCCTGCAGCGTTTCTAATGAACCCACGGAACGATAAGGAACGTTTGCAGGTGCTTTATTAAAAGAAAAGGTGCTGCCAAGACATCGCAAATAAACCCTCCTCCAGAGCAAAGCGGGAACGCGGCGAGGGGATTTTCCAGGCGATGGAGGATGTTGAGGAGGGGAAGGCGGTGGGGCTGGAGCGGGGGCTGAGGCTCTAGGAGGTGTTCCTGCGGGGCATGATGCAGTTGGCCAGGTCCCTGCGCACGCCGAAGCGCAGGGAGTCGCGCTGCTTGGTCGTGGGAACCACGTATGTGTTGGGCACGAGGCGCTTCGGCGCCCGGCGCGGCACCCCTGGCTGGGCCATCTGCCTCCGAATGGTCCAGCGCAGCCTATCGTGTGGATCCTCCCCAGGGAAGCTGTATCTCTCCCAGTCTTGCCTGTATCCATGGAATTTGGCCACTGGGTCAGTTTTCTTCCGTATGCCAACCTGTGGAAGGATGTAGGACGTGGGTGATCCGACCCGAGTGGAGCGCTGAGACGTGCTCTGTCTCCCAGCATCCTCAAGGAGCCACTCATCATAGGGCATGCACTCCTCCAGGGAGTCGCTGCTGATTTCCCCTTCAGAGATGGTGTCCTCCATAAAAACCCTGGAATGCCCTCTCTTCCACAGCTCGGCACTGCACTCGGGCTCGGCACTGCACCCCGGCTCGCTGTTCACTGACTCATCGAAGATCTCCACCATTCCATCGGGTCTGTGCCTCAGCACCTTCCTCTTCATCACCAACTTCCTGTTTTTCCTCTGATCCTCAGAATGCACTGGAAGGTCTGCCTGTGCCCCAAAAACGATGGAGGCGTCGGCATAGGGGTCGTCATGGGGACGTGCCAGTTCCTCGCTGCCTCCCGGCCAGGCGCCCGACGCCCCCGCCATGATTCCCACCAAACAGGGTGGATTCTGCAGCAAAAGAAACCAGGGTTAATTTCTTGCAGCATGTTCAAGCTGGCTAAAAGTGTCAAAGGGGACTCCGAGACGCAAATGTTTGGGTTCAGGGGTGTTGATTTAGGTTGGGCATGTTCTCAGAGCACTGCTGAACCTCCTGCTGCCAGCAGAAGGCTGTTCCCTACAGTAACAGAAACAGCAGCCCTTAATTCCTGCTGGAAAACTCCATTACTTATGTGGTCAATTAAGTCATGATTGACAAACACAGGGCAAGTTCTGTGCCCTGGGTGAGAGATTAATGGTTTTCCCCTTGTACCTGTGATTCTAAATCCACGCTATTTAGTCACTATTTAATCCAGGGACATCAGAGAGGGTGTTCTACTTCTGCAGAGGAGGAAGAGGCTCAGCACAGCATGTTTAGATGCTCGCTTATGAGTCTGGTGATAGTAAACCTCGAGTAAACCTCTAGCCCTGTGACAAAAAGGGATCTGGACGCAGATCCCACTCCCAGCACAGGCTTAGGATATCTTTAGGTGGGTTGGAAGAGCTTCAGGAGCCCCCAAGGCACGGGGAAGGGCGGGAGCAGATGGCGGGGCGGGATGAGTGGCAGCCGTCAGCGCGCTGTCTGCAGCGGGATGCAGGTGTGAAAGCGAGAAGGCTCCATGAAGGCTCGCCGGGAACGTGCTGCGCTGACAGAGCGAATCCCATCAGCTGGGGGAAGAGGAGTGATTAAAGACTCCAAAAAAAGACTGGAGTGAGATGAAGGCTGCCCGAGCTGAGCCCCTGTGGCCCTGCCTGTGCTCCGCTGGGAACACAGTGGGTCTCAGATGATAAAAACCGACTCCATGGATAACGGTTATTTTGCGGAGCCAGCCTAGAGGTGCAATAAAAACCACATAGAAAGGTAAATCCACCTTTTTTTTCTTTCCCTGCAGACCCCGAGGATCCACTGGCAACAAACTGATACTCCAAGGCAGTGGCTATGGCCAAGGAGAGCACAGCTGCTGACCATGAGGGACTCTTGAGGAGGGTGCAGGAGCTGGAAGCAGAGGTGAAGCGGTTGCAGGAGGAGCTCCAGGATGACAAGGAGGGCACTGGCAGGAGAGAGGCTGCTCTGGCCCCCAGGAAGGCCAAAAAACGCCAACAAAGGCCATTCGATTTCAGTGCGCACGGCCGCAGACACGTGGCACTGCGCATCGCCTACCTGGGCTGGGGCTACCAGGGCTTTGCCAGCCAGGAGAACACCTCCAACACCATCGAGGAGAAGCTCTTTGAAGCCTTGAAGAAGACACGGCTGGTGGACAGCAGAGAGACCTCCAACTACCACCGCTGCGGGCGCACGGACAAGGGAGTCAGTGCCTTCGGGCAGGTCAGCATCTCCTGTGGGATTTCCTGGGTGGGATGGAGATCCAGTGGGATTGCTGTCCCACAGCACAGCTTGGACTTGTTCTTTAAAAGCCATCAGCTCTTAACCCTGCAACTGAGCCTGGCAATGGCTTTCCTGTATGTGGAAAGACTATTTCAGTCTTTTAGTGAAGCATTTCAGTCTTTCTGAAACATTTTAGTGCTATTTTGTCCCCCATAATCAAGTTCTTTTCTAGGGCCCTGTTTTAGGAGGAGAAAACATGGTTTAGGCTGCAGCTTCTCCAGTAGCTCAGTGCTGCCCAAAAAGGGGTGATGCCGTGTCCTTAGCAGGGCCCTCTCAGCTGATTTAACTCTCCAATCCCACCAAAATCCAAAATCCCCAGAAATTGGCACCCTTCCTGCAGCATCAGGCAGCTGAATTCCTGCACAGAAGGGTCTGAGGGGAGCTGCAGCCAGCGGAAGGGAGCGTGGGAGTGGGAGCTGGAGGGAGGAGATGGAGCTGGCCCGCTTGGTGGGCATGGAGCCACCCGGCTGGCTGAGCCTTTGGGGAGAGCACAACCGTGGTGGCTTCACCATTGGGCCGTTCTCCTTCTTTCCCTCCTGCTGCAGGAAGCAGAGCTGGCATAGGTTTGGCCTCGAGTGGCTGCTCCGCTCTGCATGGCAGGATGAGCTGCACAAAATCAGGGCACTTGGTGCCTCCTCTTGTGCCGTTTCAGCACATGGCACCCGCACTGGGAATGAACTTGTTCCCACACCAGGTTTCCAAGCCAGCCTTCAAGTCATCACCTCCAGCTCAAAAAAAAGAAAAAAAAAAAAAAACGCAGCACATTATAACCCAAACCCAGTGACTAAAGTTGAAGCTGTTCCGAGACTGTGCTATGTAGGCAGCCTGCAACTTTCCCTGTTTTATTAATGGAATCTGTGGCATCTGCTCAGCTCCTCAGCACAGGCACTCACAGCTCCATGGTAGGATCACCCGACTGAAGCCACCTTCATCCGTAGGAGATCCTGGGTTTATTTCCCAGAGGTGTAGGAAGACTTGGCTCCACATGCCGCTGCGCCCATCCATCCGCGCTCTAATCCTGGCTTTTGCTCATCCCTGCAGGTGATTTCCCTGGATCTCCGCTCCAGCCTGCCGCCGGAGGGGCAGCAGCAAAACGGGCAGGCGGGCGAGGGGCAGCGGGAGGAGCTGCGCTACACCCACATCCTCAACAGGGTGCTGCCCCCCGACATCCGGGTGCTGGCCTGGGCCCCCGTGGCGCCAGAGTTCAGCGCCCGCTTCAGCTGCCAGCGCCGCACCTACCGCTACTACTTCCCCTGCGCCCAGCTGGACGTGGCCCTCATGGACAGCGCTGCCCAGCGCTACGTGGGTACCCACGACTTCCGCAACCTCTGCAAGATGGACGTGGCCAATGGGGTGCTCAACTTCCAGAGGACGATCCTCAGTGCCCATGTGACGTGGGTGGAGAGAGGGGGAGAATCCGGGCCGCGGGATCCCTTCCGGCTGTGCCAGTTCGAGGTGACGGGGCAGGCGTTCCTGTACCACCAGGTCCGCTGCATGATGGCCGTGCTCTTCCTCATCGGCCAGGGCGTGGAGAGCCCAGACATCATCGACGAACTGCTGGATGTGGAGAAGAACCCTCGGAAACCGCAGTACAGGTAGGGATTGCTCTGGAAAACCGGCTGCACCCGGAGTGCCCGCTGGCCAGCCACGTCCCTGCCAGCACACGGAGCAGTCTGACAGCATGGAAGTAGGCTGCCAGCCTGGGATGTGTCCATAAGGACCTCTGTTTTCTTCCTCTCAGACAAAGCTTTACTGGCTTTAGTCCTTGGTATTTGGTGAAAATTAAGTCAGCTTTTATTGGGAAAGGGAGTTCTGTGAAGGACAGGGCTGGCTGTGGCAGATCCACTGTTCTTGAGCCTTTTCGTGGGCCCACCTCCTGTCCTTGTCCCCAGCATGGCAGTTGAGTTCCCCCTGGTCCTGTACGACTGCGAGTTCCCAGACCTGCAGTGGCTCTACGACCCGGAGGTGCAGAGCTTCAATGTGACACACCTGCAGCAGCTCTGGGCCAGCCACGCCGTCAAAACCCACGTGCTTCGGGACATGTTGGCAGGGCTGGACACTGCTCCCACAGCCACTGGCAAAGGTAAGGGGGGAGTTTGGGGGAATACCTTGGAATTCACACTGCCAGCGGGCAGGCTTAGATTGGATATTGGGAAGAAATCCTTCCCTGTGAGGGTGGGGAGGCCCTGTCACAGGTTGCCCAGAGAAGCTGTGGCTGCCCCATCCCTGGAAGCATTCAAGGCCAAGCTGGACAGGGCTTGGAGCAACCTGGGACAGTGGAAGGTGTCCCTGCCCATGGCAGGAGGTAGAACAAGATGGTCTTTAAAGTTCCTTCCAACCCAAACCATTCTGGGATTCACAGAATCAATTAAGTTGGACAAGACCTGAAATTGAGTCCAGCCTGTGACCGATCACCACCACGTCAACTGAACCAGGACACTGAGTGCCACACCCAGTCTTTCCTTGAGTATCTCCAGGGCCAGTCACTCCACCATCTCCCTGGGCAGTCAATTCCAACATCTATTCACCCTTCCTGTGAAGAAACTCTTCGTAAAGTCCAGCCTAAACCTTCCCTGGCACAGCTTAAGGCTGTGTATGTAATTCTATATAAAAAAATTTGAAAGAACGGGGTAATTAAATGTATTTCTTCCATGATGTCACAGGTCCGGGGAGCAGCCTGGTCAGCAGCTTCGTGGAGGGGGTCCAAGCCCGAACCTACAAGCCCTTGCTGTCCCGGCCCCGGTGCGAGGGGCTGGAGGCTCGGATCGAACACTTCGTGCGGAGGGGCCGCATCGACCCCCCCCGGGGGCCGGGGGTGCCCGGGGAGCAGGAGCCCCCCGAGGGCAAGCGGGGCAGCAGCGCAGCCCCCGAGCAGCCGCCCAAGAGGGTCTGCGTGGACACCGAGTGACGGGGCGCCTCGACACTTCCTTTTATTATTGTTATTGGGGGGAAAAAGCGCGTTTTTTCGGTGCTGTTTTTTTATAAATCTCAAGAAACCTCTTGTAGCAGTGCTGTGTCCTACCCTGGAAGGGGGGGGGAAGGAGGGAGGCGCAGCACCGTCAGCTCGCAGCGGCAGCAAGGAGAGGATTGCTGAGGTTACACTGGGCTATGCTGGGTTCCATGAGCTGCCCCCCGCCCCTGTCGCCCCCGGTACCTCCGGCCCGGCCGGGCCGCGCCGCTCCCGCCGCTCCGTTACGGGCCGCAACCGCCGCCGCCGCGGTTTAAACACCCCCGCTCCATCGCCATTGGGCAGCGCGGCTGTCACTCAGCTCATTGCCCCTCCCCATTGGACAGGCCCGCCCCCGCGCAGCCGCCATTGGCCGACGGGGCCACGGGGGAAGGGGGCAGGAAGATGGCGGCCGCGGGTGGCGCGGCGCGGCAGTGGTGGCGGCGGGGCGGGGCGGGGATGGCCCGGGCGGTGCGCGGCCTCAGCGGGAGCGGGCGGGAGGCTGAAGGGCTGCGGGCGGAGGAGCTGGCGGAGCGGCTGAGGAGCAGTGCGGGGCAGCGGCGAGAGGTGAGCAGGGAGAGGCCGGCTGGACTACAACTCCCGGCGTGCCCCGCGCGGCCGTCCCGGGAGCGAGACTCGGGCGGTACATCCAGGGATGGAGGGGGGAAAGGCCCTTAAAGACCATCTCATCCCACCGCCTGCCGCGGGCAGGGACACCTTCCGCTAGAACAGGTTGCTCCAAGCCTGTTCAACCTGGCCTTGGACACTTCCAGGGATGGGGCAGCCACAGCTTGTCTGGGCAACCTGTACCAGGGCCTCCCCACTCTCACAGGGAAGGATTTCTTCTCAATATCCCATATATCCCTGCCCTCTGGCAGTGGGAAGCTCTTCTTCCTTGTCCTGTCCCTCCAGGCCCTTGCCCAGAGTCCCTCTCCAGCTCTCCTGGAGCCCCTTTAGGCTCTGGAAGGGGCTCTCAGGTCTCTCTGGAGTCTTCTCCAGGTGAACACTCCTATCTCTCCTAGCCTGGATCAGAGCAGATGGCTCCAGCCCTTGGAGCGTTTCCAGTGCCTCCTCTGAACTCTCTCCAACAGCTCCATGTCCTCCCTGTGCTGTTCCCCAGGGCTGGAGGCAGCTCTGCAGGTGGGGTCTCACCTGAGAGGGCAGAGGGGCAGAATCCCCCCCTCCCCTGCTGCCCCTGCTGTGGGATCAGCCCAGGACACATGGACAGGGCATGTCCAGCCTCTCACCCACCTGCACCCCCAAGTCCTTCCCCCTAGAGCAGCTCTCCATCCCTTCATCCCAGCCTGGATCCATCCCAGGAGTTACCCCCACCCAGAAGCAGCACCAGCACTTGGCCTTGTTGAACCCCATGAGGTTCCCATGGGTGCTGCTCGAGCTCATCCACGTCCCTCTGGATGCCACTCTGTCCCTCAGGCATGATACAGGCACACATGGAAGGCGAGTGAGTCACTACAGGTCCCACTGGAGCTCTGTGTGAAAGCCAAGAGCCGTTTATCCTCTGCTGAGTGTCTCGTTGTCTCCTCAGATCCCCAAGGATCCAGCACAGCGGCAGCTCCGGGAACTCACCGCGCTGAGCCGGCAGCTGCAGCGGGTTCACCCCAACGTCCTGGCCAAGATCCTCAAGCAGGGAACCGTGTACCAGAATGAGGAGATCGTGGTGATCAACAAACCCTATGGGCTCCCTGTGCACGGTGAGGGAGAGCAGGGAGCGGAAACGGCTCTGTGGTGCTGACAGGATCCTCTGTCTCTGTCCTCCCTGGGATGGGGTTTCTCTTCCCAGGGAGGGTTCCTGGGGGTTGGTCACTGTCAGATCTCAGCCTTCCCCTTGCACTTGGGGGTTGTTTAGAGTGTGTGGAGAGGTGACCACTCCCCTCACTGCCCTGCTGTGGGTCACACAGGCGGCCCCGGCATCAAGAACTGCATCGCTGACGTGCTGCCCATTTTGGCCAAGATGCTGGAGAACATGAGAGCTGAGCCCCTCCACCTCTGCCACCGCCTGGATAAGGAGACCACGGGTGTCATGGTGCTGGCACGGAGCAAGGAGACAGCAGAGAAGATCCGTCTGCTCTTCAAAACCCGTCAGGTGGAGAAGATCTACTGGTAGGAAAGGTTTGGGAGGAGAAGGGGCTGTGAAGGGAGTTTGAGGAAGGGGCGAGGGGACAGTCCTCAGGATGTGGGGGCAGCAGCATTTTATGGGGCTGCATGGTAGGAGAGGGCTGACGGGAGGGCTCCCTTTCTGCAGGAGTGACAGCCCACAGACTTGTGCTTTCCTTTCCCAGGGCGATTGTCCTGGGGGACCCGGACCCTGCTGAGGGCATCGTGGAGATCCCCATCGTGGAGAAGGAGGTGCGAAGCCACCAGTCGCACTACAAGGTGAGCCCATTCCACCCTGGCACCCCTGGCACTCCCTTCTGCCTCCCCCAGCTCACCCTCTCACCGCCCTTCAGATGACGCTGGCTCCCAACTACCGCCTGTGTCCGGAGGATGGGAAGGAGGTGAAAATCCGCAAGCAGCGGAGTGCTGAGAGTGCGGTGACGCGGTACCGCCGGCTGGCCGGTGCCTCCGCCTGCTCGCTGCTGGAGCTCCAGCCCATCACTGGTGAGGGGCCAGGAGCAGCACTGGGAAGTGGGAGCTCATCGTTAGACACGGCTGGAATCCTTCTGGGGACAAGGCTCTGGGAATAAGCCCTGCTGGGGTGATGGTTTGCTGCTGAGTTGTTCTCTGGCTGCCAGCAATTTTGGCACAGCCTTGTCCAGCACTGAGGTTGGTGGGTGGGAGCTGAGGCTTGGCACGGCTGGATGTCACTTTTCTCCTCTTTCTGTTTTCTCCTCAGGGGTGAAGCACCAGATCCGTGTTCACTTGGCCTATGGCTTGGGGTGCCCCATCCTGGGGGACCACAAATACTCGCACTGGAGCAAGCTGGCACCCCAGGTAGGGCAGATCTTGCACTGGATCCAGCCCCTTTTGTCCCCCAGCTCCCTGTGGGCCAGGGATTTCACGTCCCAGCTGAAGAGCTGGGGTTTTGAAGGGACATTTTCTGTCCTTGCTACAGAAGCTTCCTGAGCTCACCCTGAGGAGGCTGAAGCTGCAGCAGAGCAAGGCTCGGCACCTGCCGCTGTACCTGCATGCCCACCGGCTCTGCCTGCCCTTGGGCCAGCCCATAGACCTCGTCTGCAAACCACCCCCCTTCTTCCAAAAAACCCTGAGGAAGCTGGAGCTGGACATTGATAAGGACTGACGAGGAGTGGTGTGGGGTATCTCCTCATCTCCAGCACGGGGCCGTGGCTGTGCCCGCCTTGGAGCCAGTGGTGGGGTGAAGCCTGCGGTTTCTGTGCTGGTGTTGCTGGATTCAGAGCGGGTGCCTGCGTGTGCTTCTGGCACAGGAGAGCAGCTGGGACACTGAAGAGCCTCTAGTTTTGACAAATGAGGCTGGGTGGATGTTGGGCTCTGCCTGATCCATGTTTTGGACCTGTCTCTGAGCAATAAAAGCTCCGGTTCCCTCGAGGGAAGGGGTTGTGTGTCTCTGTGCTCAGGCCGGGTGGGACTCAGTCCCTGGGCAGGTTTGAGCACACCTGGGTGCAGCCCCTCCTGGATTGGAGCTGTCACTTTTCCCTTTAGAACTGTTTAGCTCAGATTTTGGAAAGTCCCTTAATTGGAAAATCCATCAAAGTGTCATTTGGCAGCAGCTGTGGATTTTTTTCACTGTGATGAGAGACTGCACGGGGAGTTCCTCGGCTTGGCTGGGCTGAGCAGCTCTGGGACTGCCCCTGCTCCATGCTGCCAGCAGTTTCAGCACAGGTTTCTGCGCAGTGACTGTGCTCCTGGGAGAAACTGCTCTGTCCCACTGCCCCTTCCAGTTACCCCATCCCTTGTTTCTAGATCCTCGTATTGGGATCCCTTGCCCTTGGGAGCGTTCCTTGGAGCCAGATTCCTCCTCTTGTGCCTCGAGAGGGAGGCGAGAGGAGGGATTGACAATCTGGGGAATTGCAGCTGATGTTCTGCCTGAAAATTGCCTCATTTCGTGGCTCCTGGCCTGTGCCAGGACTTTGGGGTGGGGCAGCAGGATGTTCTCTGTCTCTAGCTGGTTTGGGTGTTGGAAAGGGCTCCTTGTACCCCGTGGGGCCACCGTGTATCTGGGGCTTCTCCCTGGAGGAGTGCCCTGTCCCCTGGCTCCCCACTGAAAATAGCCAGGGACCCCCATGCCCTCAGGCCACGGCGCCAGAAATCCCTCGGCTGATGAGAGAGCGGCGTAAAACCGCGGGGAGCCGGGAGCGGCCAGGCAGGAATCCTGCCGGGGGGGAACTCTGCCTCCCCAGCCCGCTGCCATGGCTGCTGGGGTGGGATTTTCTATTTCTGTTTGTGAAAAGGCTTGCCCTGTAATTACAGGGCGATTTAACGCCCTGTCTGAGCTGCCCTTCACAGCCATCGGACGCAGCACTCGGCAGGGACTCCTCAGCTTGGCCAAGTCGCTCCGGAGCCGGTCACACCTCAGGCGACACCAGCAGCACTTGCCAGCATCTCTTCCTCGCTTCACAATGTCCCTCTCGCACACGGCTGCCGAGTACATGCTCTCTGACGCTCTGCTCCCGGATCCCGGCAGTTCCCGAGCCAAGGGCCTGCGCCTGGAGCTGCCGAGCGATCGCCTGCTGAAGTTTGTCACCGTGGGGCTGCCCCTCTGCCTTGTCTCGCTGGCTTTTGCCCGGGAGTTCTCTGCTGGTGAGTCGCAGCTTTTCCAAAGGGATCTTTGGGTTGAGGGCAATCGCCGGTGGGGGTTTGGTTGTCACGGCAAACCCCTCGTGTTCACGCCAGTGTCACGATATGAGGCAGAGCAGCCTGGAAGTCCTTGTTTTAGGAGCTGTTCTGCATCATGGGTGTTTATTGATTGTTTTTAATGGATCGCTGTGCACTGGGAAAGCCTGGGAACAGCCATGCTAACCCCAGGAGTGGTGCTGAATCAATGCCCAGCCTCAGCTGCTCACGCCCAGCACCTTTGGGTGCCGTGGGGTTGTTTAGGAGGAGGGTGCTGGCAGCACAGAGGGATGCATTGATGGTGTGTCGTGACCTCAGGCTAAATTTGGCCTTGGCCAGCATTCTGCTGCTTCCCCTGGGGATTTGGTTTTACTCTAGTCTGGCTAGTCTCTAATTCCCAGCACCATGTACACACCACTGTGCACAAAGGGTTTGTGTTTGGGAAGAGATGGAAAAGTCCCTGCTGGAAATGCAGCAGTGAGGAAAAGCAGCTCCAAAATGACCATGAAAAAGGCTTTTTTAATTCAAAGCAATGCCTTAGATGTAATCACCCTCCTGGCTATGGAATGCTCCTCCACCCTCCATGGCTGAGGTTCACTCTCCTCCTCCTCCTCACCCCAGGCTCCCAGATCAGCTGCTTCTCTCCCACCAACTTCACGGGGAAGCAGTCTGCCTACGCCGACACGGCTTGCTGGGACTCCCTCATCCACCACGGCTTCGACGCCGAGGGACGTGCTGTCACCAAGTCCCTCTGGGCTCTCAAGGTAGGGTCAGAGTCACATCTGGGTGCCCCCAAGTGCCGCCTGGCTGCACACTCCGCACCCTCAATGCCCTCTCATCCCTTTTGCCCAGGTCTTCCCCTACTCGCTGCTGGTGGTGGCGGTGCTGATGTACCTGCCGTACCTGCTGTGGCGTTACGCCGCCGCCCCTGCCCTGCACTCCGACCTGCTCTTCATCATCGACGAGCTGGATAAATCCTACAACCGCTCGGTGCGCCTGGTGCAGCACATGAGGAAGGTCCAGCTGGCCAGTGATGAGCCAGAGCGATTCTGGGAGGAGTATGAGAGGTGAGGCCCTGCCAGGTCACCGCAGCCCTGGGAGTCCCTCCTCGGGGCGTTGTGGCTGTGTCCAGGATGGACTTGGGTGAGGCAGTGAGGTTTGGGGGATGGCTCTCACTCCCCCTGTGTCCCTCTGCCCCCAGGGCCCGCCAGGAGAGGTATTTTGAGTTCCCGTTGCTGGAGCGGTACCTGACCTGCAAGCAGCACGCCCACGCCCTTACGTTCATCTACATCCTAAGGAACCTGCTGCTGCTCCTGTTCCTGGCTGCCACCTGCCTCTACCTGGTCTTCCTCCACCTCAACATCTTCTTCCAGGATGAGTTCAGCTGCTCCATCAAAACAGGGCTGCTCCAGGCAGAGCCCCACATCCCCCCACTCATCCCCTGCAAGTTGGTCTTCTTCTCCATCTTCCAGCTCATCAGCCTCTCAGTGGGCAGTGTCTACATCCTCCTTATCCCCGTCGTCATCTACAACGCCCTGCAGCTCTGCCAGTGGGACAAGGGGCTGCTCTCCGTCTACGAGATGCTGCCTGCCTTCGACCTGCTCAGCCGCAGGATGCTCACCTGCCCCCTCAACGACCTCAACGTCATCCTCCTCTTCCTCCGTGCCAACATCTCCGAGCTGACCTCCTTCGGCCGCCTCAACGCTGTCAGCGCCCTGAGGGAAGCCACGGCCAACAAGGAGGACATCGACACCGTCATCGATTTCATGACGCTGCTGGCCGGGCTGGAGACCACCAAGCCCAAGCACCAAGCTTGCCCCCCCGAGGGCGAGGGCAGCGCAGCCCTCTCCAACGGCACGGCCCTAGGTAGGCTCTTTGAGTAGAGTCAGCTTCCCTCTCCTCTTGGTTCCCACACTGCCAGATCCCACCTCGGGAATGGGGCTGGATCCGTCCACCGCTGCCCTAACCCACTGAGGTGTTTGGGAGGTAGTTGAGGGGCTGCTGGGGGTCACCATGAGGGCCAACAGCTCTGGGAGAGGGTTCTGGCAGCTGGGATGTGATGCTACTGCAATCCCAGGCGTGGGCAGGAGTTGCTATAGGAACAGCAAGCAGAGAGCTTGCCACTTAAATCCAAGCTCTGGGCAAACTGCGGGGCCGTGAGGGTCCCTGTTTTTGGCAGCTCAGCCTGCTGGAGTGGGATTGGGAGCTTTAAGTCCTGGGGGGGGGCTGATGCCAAGGATGCTGTGCCTGCTACCTTCTCCCATTTGCATGGCACTGGTGGGCACAGCAGGGCTGTGTGCGGAGAGGGAGCCAGGCTCCACAGCCAACATCCCTGGGGCTTGCACCGCTCCCTCTCCCACGTGCTTTGGGTTTTGGGGAGGTGGGTGCCTCCTCTGGGGTCTCACAGGGATCCCCAGAGCCCATGGCAGTGGTTTCCAGGCTGTGAGAGACAGCCCATCCCGGCAGGCAGGAGCCGGGAGGCCTGGGCTCCGTTCCTGGCCCTGAACACACAGTCTGAGCTGTGGTTTAAAAAAACCACCCAGATCGAGCTGGATTTCACATCTTCATTGCCATGGCAACCACAGGGCCAGCACACCTGGCTCCTGGGCCAGTCTCACGCTGTTGGAGAAAGCCCAGATCCCAGTGTGCCATCGCCCTGTTAAGTAACTGCCTGCTCTTCCCGCCCTGTCTAGAACCAAAGCCTGGAGTGGAAACGATGGGAAAAGCCTCTCGGGACTCGCTCGGCTCTGCCTGACCCAGGAGCAGGCAGGGATCCTGCCATCCCAGGATCCACTTCGATCCAAATCCTTCTTGCCGGCATCACTTGAGTGCATTACCCTGGTTCTAACACAGCTGTGATGTGGCAGCTGGGCTGAGCCCACCTGCTTTTCCTGCACCTGGGCTTTCCCTTCTTATGTATGTTTTTTCAGAAAAATAGGGTTAAACAATCAATATTTTGTGCAGAACCTCTTGGGTTCTCTTTTTCCAAGCACTGGGTGCCACACTGTGCCTCTTCCACACAAATTTCCCTGCTGTTACAGCAGGAGGGGGAGGATGGAGGAATAAAGGGTACTCCTCTGAAGGAGAGAAAGGATGCAGGAATAAAATGAGCTGGTTTATTAACTATTTACTATTTATTGTTTATTAACAGAGGGAGGTGGAAGGCACTCACACACTTCACAGCTCCCTGTCCCAGCCCAGCCTTAGCCTTTGGGTTTTTGGCAGAGCTCCTCTCTCCCTCCTCTACCCTGCAGCTGGAAGCTGATCCCTGGATCCCACGAGCATCCTGTCATGGGGGTGAGCAGTCCATGCCCTGAGAAATGAGGTGTCCAGCTCCACAGGCAGGGGGAGAAGCAGTGAGGGGTTCAGCTCCCATCGGTGTGTCCTGCTGCTTCTCTTAAAATCATTTCTCATAAATTTAATTGTAAATTGGCTTCTTTTTTCCCCCCTGCAGCCTTGGCTTGAAGCCAAAGAGGAGCTGGAAAGTTGTTTAATTAGTAGGACAGTAATCGAGCCTGCTGCCTCCCAGGATTGGAAAGAGACCCAGAAGCCTGAGCTTCCTCCTCTCCCCTAAATCCCTCAGGAAAATCTGGAGCCAGGGAGGAGAAGCAGCTCCCTCCTTCCGTCAGTGCTGCCTGTGGGGAGGGTGTCCAGCAGGAAGGGGGGTGCGGGCAGCCCCTGGGGGTTGTAGAGGGGGCAGGACTGGTACTCACAGGGCCACTCGGCCCAGGCGTAACGCAGGCCCAGCACCAGGGTCCCACAGCCACCCAGGGCCAGCGTCACCGTGCGGGACCCCACCGCCACCATCGGTGCTGGCAGCCACCGGCACGGGGACGCCTTGCTGGAGCAGCAAACCTGGGGAGGGGAGAAACCCTCATCAGCATGGCCTTCCCCTCTCACAGCCCCTGGGGGAGGATTTCCTACCCCTCACCTCGAATGACCGCGCATCCCTCTGACGGCAGACGAGCTCCTGGCTGTAGGTGACATTCAGCAGCCCCCTGGTCAGCTCCAGGACCGCCCGGGTGGGATACGGCCCCTGGAAAACCAGATCTTTGTCCCCGTATGCCACAGCCCTGGCGCCCAGCAGCAGCCGGTGTGCCACGTTCTGCTTGTCCCGGGGGTGGATGCTGCCAAGGAAGAGGAAGGAGATGGGGTTGGTACCCAAAAGCTTCATCCCTACACCCTCACCCTGGCCCAGGACTCGCCTGCCGTAGGGAGAGCGCTCATCTCCCAGATCCATGGCTACGGCCATGAAGGTGCCGGGCATCCTGGCGTTGGGAACAACCCCCAGGTCGGCTGTTTGGTGCCAGCGGAGCCGGGCAAAGCTGTCATCGGGGCTCTTGTGGCGGTAGGTGGACAGCTGCAAGGCAGGGGAAGAATGAGGCAGCCATCGCTCCCAAAAACAGCCACTCTGGCCCCTGCCGGGCATTTGGCACCCAGCAGGACCTGCCCGTGTGTTTACAGCATCCTCTCCCTGCTGCCAGCTTGGAAGTGGCCTCCAGTGTGGGAATGGGTGGGTAAAACCTTCCTGGGCAACCCCAGGGGGGTCCTCCCTCTCGCGCCCCCAACCTGCACGAAGCCGAAGGGGAGGAGCGGCTCCGTCTGCCCGGCTGATCCGGCATGGAAAGCGCGGCGCCAGTCGGCGATGAGTGCGGGGAAGGTGCAGTTGTACCGGTCCGTGTGCAGGAAGGCATTTGCCTCACCTGTCCCACAGAGAGAGGGGTTGGTGAGAGCCCCCTGAGACAGCAGGGGCTGCTCCACCCCGGGGGATGGAAACAGGCTCACCCTGGTACCACGCGATGCCCCGCAGGGTCATGTGGAGCAGCGGGTGGATCATGGCGTTCCAGAGCACGGATGGTGTTTGTGGGCCGGAGAGATGCTGGTGTGGGGAGGTGCTGGAAGACAAAGCTGGGCTTAAAGGTAGCGCAAAGCACAAGGGGGGCTTAGCCCTGAATGGTTAAAGGAAGCACCGTGCCAAAGGGGAGCTCTGGGGTCCCCATCTTCCCCCTCTACCCACCTAGATTTGCCCTACGTTCTCGGCATGGGAGAGGATTTTATCCAGAGGGGGACAAACGATGCACAGAGGGGACAGCAGGAGGGGAGGTGGGGTGGGAAGGGATGAGGATACTCCCCAAAAGCAGTATGATGCAGGGCAAGAGGTGTTTCCACAGCACCTTCTCTCACCTCCCCGTGTCCTCTGGGAGCCCGCATGCCTGCAGAGCCTGGCGGGAGGACCAGGCCTCGATGGGGGTCCCCCCCCAGGCCGCCTCCACCAGCCCAACAGGGATCCCCAGAGCCTCGTACAGGGAGCGTCCCAACAGCCAGCACACGGCCGAGAAGTAGGTGAAGTTCCCGTGGCCCAGGTTTTCTGCTCAACAAACAGTGGGCTGCAAAGGGAAAAAGCGGGGGGAAAGCCGTTTCCAGGCTTTCTTTTGGAGGCACGTGTCACTCACTGGCCGTGGGGATGGACCATGGCAGGGCGATCCGCTCCAGCTCCTCCAGCTCCACGTCGGAGCGGGCGGGCGCCACGGCAAAGACACGGACATAGGGATAGCGAGCGGCGGCAGCGAGTTCCTGGCTGGCATTGGCCACCTGGGGAAGGGGTGAGAGCATGTGAGGTGCTTCCCTGCCTCATCCTACCTGATCCTGCCTGATCCATGCCATGGGGCCTCACCTGCAGGACCGTCATTGCCATGTTGCTCTGCCCACTGCAAAGCCACACGTCCCCAAAGTAGATGTCCCACAGTGTCACATTCTCTGAGCCCTGTTCGGCCATCAGTGCGTAGGGACCACCCTGATCCATGGGGTCCAGGACAGCTGTCCATGTCCCAGAGGGTCCTGAAGAAAGAGGATGGTGCTTAGCTTCGACCAGATGTACAAAGATCTCAAGACCTTCACAGGGATGTTGGATGAGCGGCCAACAACCAGCGGGGACGGATGGGCGACAGGGAAAAGCTTCCCCGCCACAGAGCCAGGCTGGGGAAATGGATTTCAGAAGCTCTGCCATCAGAGGGTCTTTCCTCCTGGAGGAATTTAGGGGTTAAAAAAGAAAATCCAGAAAACAAATGTGTGTCAGAGCAGAAGCTGCTGGGAGGAACCGGGACTACAGGAGCAGCTTGGTGTGTGTGACACCGAGATGTCTCTAGCTAATTTTAGAGGTGCCGAATCAAGGCATAAAGATATTCTGCTGGAGCTTAGCATGGATTTTCAGGCTGGATCCTGCAGATCTCCTAGAATCACTGCTCTCCCGTAAGACACCTCCAGGCTCTCCAGCTTGTGGAGGTGCCCTTGGGCAGCAGTTTTGCCCCCTCAAAGGTGATGAGCAGCCCCCCAGCTCTCTAAGCAGGGAAGCAGCTGGGATTTGAGGTGCTCCTGAGCCCTCCCAGCCCCCAGGAAGTCTCTGCCTGCATGGGTGACATCATTCAGGGCTTAGAGATTCCAAGAGGGCATGGATAGAAAAAGAAGCCAGGAGTGCTCTGGAGATTCTCTAGAGATGGTTTTGACAGGGAGAGGAGCTAGATCCCCGCTCTCCCCTCGGCAGCCTCGCCGCTCGGCTCCAGCCTGTGCGGTGCCACCCACTGCAGCGGCAGCTCCTGCTGGGCGCCCACGGGATCCGCTGGTGGCAACCAAAGTGAGCAAAGGCTGGCGCTGGCGGGGATGGCTGATCCCCCCCAGATCTCCTGCAGAGGGGAAAGCATGATGTGGAGAAGTCACCATCACCTCTGCACCCCCAGGTGACAAACCCAGGGGTGGTGACAAAACCCACCGGCCGCTCCGGTCTGGGCTTGGACGAGCTCCTCGGCCACCACAATCAACGGCCCCCAAGCCCTGGTGAGGGCCGGGACTGACCTTTAACCGGTGCTGTTTTCTTCATGATGACGAGGCCCCCGGCCCCCGAGAGAGTCACAGTCACCACGGCCCCCGGCTCCCCGTGGCCCCACAGCACGGCCCCCGCCGGCTCCCTCTGCAGCACCATGTGGTCGCCGTAGGAAGAGGCGAAACCGAACATCCCCCCTGGAATCACCAGACAGGGCAAACATCAGCTCCAAGAGGAAAACAGCCCCTTAAATGCAGATTATTTGAGAACCTGCTTAGTTTTACAGCTTCCTGGACAGTCTTAAGGTGGTTAAAATCACCCCAGAGCTGAGGAAGCAGCAGGATTTGAAGTCCCCAAGAGAAAATTCATCTCCCAAAGCACAGGGAGTGTGTTACATCTTGGGTTACGCAGATTTGGACACAGATTTTGGTAAAAATTCCTCTAATAACAGCACAGGAGTGTCTCTGCCAGCCCAGCGTTGCTGATAAGTATGTTCTGACATATTTTTCCCTTGGGGAAAAAAGTTTGGCAAGGGTGGGATGGGAAACACCAGGCATGTTGCAGTGGCAAAGACACCTTCAGCAGGGAAGGAAGCAGAGGGCTAAGCCCTGGCAGCCCCAAAAGCTCCAATTTTGGGGTGTGAAAAGATAATCATGTTTGAAAAGGGGTTGGGGCAATGTTTGAGGGGCAATTTGGGCAGGGATCCCCATTGCAGCGTCCCAACTGGAGCTCACAGAGCCCCATCTCCTCCGCAGCTCATCCCAGGCTGGGGTTTAAGCAAGGAACAGGATTCCTCAGCCCCCCGGGAATCAGCCGCGTCGCCGGTCCCACTGCCTCCTGCCACGAGGCTCCGGCAAGAACGAGTTACATAAAAAACAAGTCGGAGGAGAAAAAAACGGAAAAAAAAAATTAGAACTGAGACGCCAGGGAAGTGAGTGGAGGCTATAAAAAGCAGCTGGGAGGAGGGAAGGGAGGGAGGAGGGAAGGGAGGAGAGCCCACGAGACACGGCCGAGGAGCCGCATGTGGCTCCCACCTTACGTAAAGCCCCGTCCCACGGCGGCAGCGCCGGGCCAAGGGCACCGGAGGGATGCGGCGAGAACGGGGTCAAAGGGGGGCCCAGAGGGTGCAAAGGGCGCCGAACTGGGGCTCTGGGACACTGAAGCACTGCTTGGGGGGCGCAAAGGGTGTCAAAGAGGGGCTGGGGGGACCGCCAAGGGCATCAAAGCTGGGCCAAGTGGGGGTGCCAAAGCCATCGAAGAGGGGCTGGGAAGACACCAGAGGCTCGGGGTGGTGCCAAAG